GCGCAGGTTCAGGTTGCTCAGGTTCCTGAACCCTCAGTTCAGGTTGCTGGCTGCTCCAGCAACCAGTGCTGGTCACGCTGACACGTTACCCCAACACAAAGACCTTTGAAGCCAGCAGCTCTTGAAACTTCTGAAATTACTTCAACCCTCATTCAGATTCTCTTTTGGCACGCTTGGCAACAAATACAGCCTATCTTGGAACGGTGGTAAAATACAAATGTGAATGCACAACATGAAGGCTGAAAGTGGGAGCCAGTGAAATAAATACACAGTCAGGCATCAAGTAGACTAAAAGGCTCTGTTTCCTGTTCCTGGGAACAGAGTATCTAATTAAACTGCATTAAGCTGGTGAGTCTCTCCACCCTTTTGAGTGGAAGTCAGATGTCCTCAGAGAGATGAAAATCTGATGACATCCTGAGCGTCAGAGTGATGCTGGACTCCATCAGACCTGTTGCCTCATGGCACAGCTGCTGCTGAACAGTGCCCCCTCTCACCGTGTTACACTATGGTTGGCGTGCTGAGCCTTTGCTTTCTCAGAGTAGCTGTGAAGTGAACAACAAAGTTTCTCACACAGAAGCCACTATAAAAGAAAATCAGGAGACATAGGGCCCACTTGCTGCAGTTGGGCCAGTATGTGTATTCCCATGCTCAGATCCACTCTACTGGCTGGAGCCTCCAGTTCAGATGTCCTGCAGCAGAGGTTTGGAGGAGGAAAGCCAGCAGGTTTCCAAAGCAACATCATTACCCAGGTTGCCAACCTCAGGCACTGACACAGAAGAAATGGGACACCAGTCATCCCCCATTCCCTGTTACTTTAAAAGCAGGAATCAAGGGAATTATGCCAGCCATTGCCCTAAAACTTGAGGGCTTTGCAGCTATTCTACTTTTCATAGTTCATACAGTGGAGACCAAGAATATTAAGCTGAAAATTGTACAGATTGCCATGTCAGCTGCAGGCAGAATGGCACCTCCCAGGAGTTAGAGCATATTAAATCAGCCAAAAGACTTGGGCAAATGTGGTTATCTAATCCACACGTAAGAGATGGAAAGACATTCTCGTGCTCTCCTGCAAAGCTTTTAGGTACTTTTATTCCAGTCTAAATTTCCAGCTAAAACTTTCAATTGTAGCAGAGAGGGGAAAGTAAATCAATGAAATATGTCTTCAAAAAGTTATGCCTGCTTGGGGAGTATGAAAAAAAAAATTGTGAGAACTCATCCACTCGTATTTCTCTCCTTCATCACATTCTGAAGGTGATTGCCAGTTGTTAAAATGCTACCTTCAAACACTTACAATAAACTCTGACAATACAATATTTTCTGAAGACCTGTAAGTCTTATTTGAAGTTCATGTCTAAAATCTTCTTGTTTCTAAGTTTAGATTGTATTATGAATGCTAACTTACTGAATCTTATATTCAGACACTTTAGAAGATCTGGAAAATTTAGTAGCATGATAAAATGTAAATAGTGATATAGTTCATTGTTTTTTCTCAAAGAGCCTGAAGCTTCTGGAGACACCTTTCTCCAGTAACAGTACTGTACCACATGAAACAACTTAAAGTAGTATTTTTAGAGTGCATGCTCAAAACTGAGCTAAATCAGTATTGAATCACATGGCACAAGTTTGAAAATGTGAGTATCCATCATACCTCATCAAAGTTGCAGATATGTTAGGGCAGAACTTGCCATCTTTTCATTAATTCATAATGTTTCTCTACCAGAGGGAGAGGAATTGTTATGATTTCTGCCTTTTCCTCACCCTTTCCTTTCTCTCTGGTATTCCTAAAATGAGTAACGCTCAAGTTTCCTGTTTTCTTTTTTTGTAAACAAGACCAATTTTATTTTCTTTTAGCAATTTAACAGGGGAAATTTTTGGCCATAATGTTGAAGAGTTGTGTATATAAAGATTTGTCTCTCCCCAGCTCACACCAGGAGGAGGACATACACTCTATTTAGACACGTGCAAGCGAGACTGAAGAAAGATGTGTCCAGAAAGGAAATTACGAAATGCACCTGCTCTTCTGTTTTTTTTCTTTGTTCATAATTTTAGCTAGATTCTTCATGGTTACAAACTTTTTCTCTCACAGAAAGGCAGGTTTCAAATGAGAATACAGAAGTCTAAAATGGTAACAGGCTTCTACTTTGGTACATGTCAGACTTCCTCTGTTTATTTTGGCTGATAAGTGTGCTTTGCTATCAATTCTGGATTGCATGGGTTTACAAAATTTGAACAAACAGCTTTCCACAAATAAAACTATACATATTGTTTCATGCTGTGCATCTAGTGCACTTACTTTGTCATGACTTCTGATAATGTTTTATCATCAATGAATGTACAAACATGCTTGGATCATGTAAAGAAGGAAATGACACAATATTTCCCTTATGTTGAAAACTGTTTGCCAAGTGGTTATGATGAAAATTCAAACACTGGGAATTCTAGGCTTCCTTCTGAAACTTTATGTAATGGTTTGATTAATGCTGAAGTTAATGTAATTTGTTGAAATAATTTAAGCTGTACAAATAGCTTTTTAATTATGCTAAGCAGTTGGGAAAATAAAATTTGTACAGGTACTGTTCTACTCAGTTGTTATTCTCTCCTTGGTTCTTTGAAAAATGTTTGTTTAAAAATATCTGTACTTGTTCTTGCTCTTATCTCTTTTTTTTTTTCTCCGTGGGATGAAGGCAGCAAGCAGTGTGAAGTGAAAAATAATGTATTTACTAACCAGAAAAAAAAAGTTGTTTTTCCCCAGTAAAACTTACTTTTTTTTTTTTCACATATCAGACTTCTGTAACATATTCCTGTGTAATGGTTGTAAACACTCTTTTATTTTTAAGGTTATTATTGTGCAAGTTAATCCAGGGGAAGCATTTACAATAAGAAGAGAAGATGGACAGTTTCAGTGCTTTACAGGTAAAGCTGATAAATTTATTTTAATATTTCCTGCGTCTGCATCAGGATAAATAAAAAGCAAGTTGTCGTGTTGAAAGTAAAAGACTGACAGAAATGATTTTAAATACAAGAGCCATTTAAAGACCTAAAAGATTAGATGCTAAAGATCATTGGATTTAGATTTCACTGCCATAAACAAAACACTTTTTCTTATATTAGATGAAATTAAATTTCTTGGGAGAGAAAGGGGGGAACATTTTCAGTTTGCAAAGCAAACAGGGAAGTGCTGTGGTAGCAACTTTTGACTAACCTCATTTATTACACAGACCTCAAATTAAAAGCTACAGTTGTTAATTTGGTTTATTTTTTTTATTCTTTGCTGTCATGTGTACATTGTTTGCCCATACCAACAGTAGCTGTCTGTTATCCCACTAGTAGGTTTTCGTTATCTCTAGGGGCCAAATTGGGTCCTTTCTGAGTTCTAGCAAGTGCAGCTTCAAAATACAAATGCTTCTTCTAAGTGTAGCATCCCCGTACGCAGTGGTCAGTTTGGATGTTGTTTTTTATTCTGAATGAAAATAGCCACCAGTTAAGCCTATCTAGAGCTGCAGGAAATAAGCAGTGAGATATTGCTGCTGTTTAGAATACCACTTTACTGTGTTATAAGAGAATATCCACAGATTCAGCTATGGGGTCACTTTTTTACTTGTTATCTTCTGGGCCAATGAATCCTACCTTCTTTTTTTCTGGATGTTGGCCCAGCCTCAACAGATACTGTTCTGGGAAGTTGAAGCAAGTATTTTCCAGCTCGTTTCCCCCCTCTCCAGTCTGAGAAGAGATGAAAGGTCTGGTTTCCAGTGACATAGGCAGGTCCTTTGGCTGCAAAATAACTGATTAAAAGGAGGCCTTGGATTGTAATGAAGTTTATATCGACAATTCTTAAAGTTTGCATGTCCATTAGCACCATTTTTCAAAACATTGTGCTGGTTGCATAGTACTGTTGCTTCCTTTGAGCCACAAATGGATCTGTGTTGCAGCTCGCAGTTCTATAGGGCTTATTTGAAACGTAGCTGTGTAATAATTACTTGGCAATACCTGAGGGGAATGTAGTGATTTTTGTCTTGCAATTTAAGTTAAAGAACAGGTAAGATGTATTTTACTTCTGTTGCACAAAACACTGAGGAGAGTGGCATGCAGTGCGTTTTGGGTTTTAATTTTGATTTATCAGATGAGCTTGGGGAGAGGGGGGCAGGGAATGAATCGACACTTTCCTTGCATGACCATCTTGAAAGCAGGAAGTGTGTGATGAACTGCAAAAATATTGAGATCATATCTCTATAGATACAGTTCTAACCTTTCATGGTACAGCTTTTATCCTTGCTTGGTCCCTCTTGCTTTCTGAATAGTCAGCTCGCTATTGTGATTTGATTCAGCTGCTGATTTCTTCACACTTTACATATGAAAGTGAGCGGGAGCAGTAATTCGACAATTGTTCCTGGGTCTCACGAAGTGTAAGCTCAGGTACAGTCTTTACAACTTTCCTGAAAAGTGGCACTGGCAATCTAGGAACCTACATTCCAAATCAGTTCCACAGCTCCTGTCATATAGACATTCTCCTTGTCCTTCCCCCTTCCAGGACATGAAAATAGGGCTTAGAGTTGGTAGTAAAACAGAGGGCACAGAGGCTTCTCATATCTGTACATTCTCTAATCTTAGAACAGAATCTGAGTTGCATGTGGTCTTATGAATGTTGCTTTTCTGGTCTATTCTTGCCACTCCTGAGACATTTATGTGTGTTATGAGTGCTATGTTGATGGATCTTTCTACCTTTTGGCTTGTTGGGTATGTCTGGCTTAAAGAAGAAATTCCTTTAGTAATTGATGCTGTACCTTTTTCATTGTATGTATTGCAACTAATGAGGAATGTCTGCTTTCCTGTTTTCTGTGTATAGATTTGTATAAAGTGAACCATTTCAGATGGTGTACACTGTGGAAAGCAGTTTGGTATCGGTGGTCCTTTTTGCTCTGCCACAACTTGTGAAACATAGTTTGCCCTTGACTTGGCTACAAAATGGATGACAAGTCTGCAAAATGGGTTACAGCCAGAGGAGACTATTGCATTGAGTCTAAAGAAAGAAAGCTCCCATCAGTTCCCTGTTCTTTTCTGCTGTATGCACTCACTTTTTAGGTCAAATCAAAGTTAAAGATGTGGAAATACATAATGAGTATGGTTTGTAGGAAACCTTATAAACATGCAGAGATGTTTATTTTAAAAAAGGCATGAAGAAAGCAAAGATGGCTGAAATTTAGTGGAGATGCAATCAGTGGGAAGTTAATTTAGTCATTATAACTTAGTCATAATTTAGTCATTAGTTTCTTAATGCTTTTTTCCAACCTCAGTTTTTCCTATAAGTATTTACCCATCTTTATACTCTTTTCTGACTGTATTGACTTAAAAGTTTCTGCAAAGAATGCATTATTCAGCTTTTTCTGTGATGTACTATGTAAAAAGAGGTAGTATTACATACGTTGAAAATGTGTATCTGTATACTATGCAAAACCACAGTATGTATTGCCCACAGAAAAATTATAATTACATACAAGTATATTGCATATTGCAATTAATATGGTTTTGTCTTGTATCACATTCAGAATCCACTTGGAGGAAAAGCATTAGTACAAGCAAAGCTTTTTCATGAAATGCACTTAATACTTTGTTACAAGTGTTCTCTTATCCCTTTCAAAATGAGGTTTGTAAAGCTTACATGTATAATTCACAATTCTTACTTATTTGTGGTAGAATGGTAAGTGACCACCAAACAAATATCTCTTAGTGTCTGATGTTTGCTTTCTAGACTGAACTGGTTCTGAGAACTTAATTTACTTCATATTTTGTGGGACGTTCAATATTCTACAAATAACAAGGGCTTCAGTTCAATATTGAACATAGTACAATTTTTTTTTTTAAGGAACAGAAAATTTGCAAGTACTATTTTTCGAAGTCTGTATTCTAATTTATACTTAGCAAAATGGTGGCTAACAAATATGTCGTCTCTTTGAATTACAGTCTTACTAAAAGATATCCAAGGAAAAAGAAAAATAATATGAGGTTACAAAAGATAGTAAGAATTTAGAATGTTGCACATTGACCACAGGTGAAAACAATAAAATGTAAATTCAGGTTCTTGCAAGACAATTTGTATGTGCATAAGTTTAAATTGAAATTCTGTGAATATAGTACTAAAATGAAAGAATGGAAGTTGAGAGGTAGCAAGCTGCTTCTGGATGGATCCCCAGTAGAAGTGCAGATCCCCAGGTACAGTGGTCTGGGTGATTTGGTAAGTCACTGTTCCTCGGGTAATTCTAGATCTCTCTTGTGCTTGAGACTTGAGACTGACTTCAGCAGATAGATTTAGAAACAATCCACATTACGCTAACCATAATGTTAATTGTATTTTCTTGCGTCGTATCCCCGTCTGTTGGAAACATTGAGACATTCTGTCAGTCTTTGTGCTGCTCTTGTCAGTTATTTTATTTGTAAAGAGAACTATCCTTACTTTGGATACTCTATACATAGGGTAAAACTTCTCAGCCTGAAAACAAGGAGAGTCATTGTCTTTCTAGGAGAAAGGAGAGGTGTGAATAAAGTGACTATTTTAGAGCTCTTCTTGAGTCAATGAAGTAATGAAAACTTAAAGCACCAATTAATGGAGAAGCATACATGCTTTTTCTGTGAGCTAAGCTTCTGAAGAAAATGCTGCATTTATACCCAGGTCTCTGCACTGACTTACCATCTATTTGCTGGTATAACTCTCACAGATGATCTGTAAAGCTTTGACTGTTTTGGTACTATGATAAGTGAGAAGTGGCTTTTTAATGTGGGCCTCTTCATGGCAGTTAAGATTGGGTGAAAAGGCTCTTAAGATTGTTTCCTGGTTTGAAATCTCTTGAGGTTGGCAAAAGAGCAGTGGTGGTTAAGGAACCTTTTCTCCTTGGTGAATCCCATTCCTTTATTTTTGTGGAGTTTTGATGACTTAAAATAATCTGTGTATTTTATTCTTGGTGTCTTACATTTATATTTATTTAAAATAAGAAGCATGGTTGCTTTATGTTTCTATAGTTAGCAGTCTTGGATCTTAGTTTCTTTTCTGTTGTATGTATTTTGACTTAAATACAGCTTCAAATGAGCACTTGTGTGCCAATGGCCATTTTTCTGACTTTATAAAATGTTTTCTTTGTCTGCCTAGTGGTTTGTCTGATAGTGATAACTTCTGCTCTTCCTTGACGCAACTTCAATTTAAACTGTTTCTCAGTCTCTTACTTTCCAAAGACACAGTGCTTTTCTTGCTAGATAGATAGGAAGATATCTGCCTGTGTATCCGTGTGTTAGACCAAAATGTTTATTTTCAGAAGAGCTCTCTTAAATCTATGAAACTGTTCTCACATACTAGAAATACTCAGACTTCTGTGGAAACTTTCCTTAAGCCAAAATTTTCTTCTGTTCAAGTGAAATAATCAGCTACATTACAGTGATTCAGAAAACCAGGTTTGAAATGTATGAATGGGCTCTCTTTGTAGAAGTGAATTACTGCAGATCACTCATTCATGAATTCTTCCTATTGCAGAATAAATGAATGAAGATGACTCATCTTGAGCACATTTTGTAACAGTCCCAAGTTACAGCTAAGGGCTATTAAATGTTACTTGACATAATAAGAGAGACCATGTTCTATATGTCTCTGCAAAGGAAAATTGCCATTTTCATAATAAAATAAGAAAAATTATGTAAATTGGAATGAGTCATAAATACTTCATGCTTTGAAATGAAATGAAGTATCAGTATTAAGGTTAGTCTCTAGGATAAAAGTTAAGCAATTTTAACCTAATTTTTTCTCTTTAAAATAAGGAATAAAATACTTCTGAAAAGTGTTTTCAAGGAAGTCAAGAGGAAAAGAAGATCACATCAATTCTGAAACTACAGTAGTGAAACACGAACTTTAGTTCATTCTAAGATTAGCTTCA